TTTTCTCCTGCCGGCCGATACGCATTTTTTTTTTTTTGCAAATATCGGCGGCCGATCGGACCCAGATATCGGATCGGGACCATTTTAGCTTCCTTTTCCTCTACCGGCCGATACGCTTTTTTTTTTGCAAATATCGGCAGCTGATCGGATCGGGACCATTTTAGCCCTCAGTTTTTATTTTTTCCCTGGGGAAAGGTCTCGTACCTGGTGCTGCCGTGGGGGCGGAGAGCTTCCCGTTGGAAAGGGAGGGGCCCAGCTTCGCCACCGGAGCACTGAACGTAAACCCAGTCTGCAGAGAAACCAAAAAGGGAATCATGACCTCTCCAAAGGCTGTACGGTTTTGGGTTAATGTGCTAAAGAACCGGGGATGTCCTCACAGATGGGGAGTAGGAAGGCGGGCTATGAGCAGTGGCTTTGACTATAGGGGAGGAGAAGGTGAAGGGAGCAGAGGGAGGTGTGGAGGCCTTTGGTGGATCCTGAGGAGGAAAGAGAGAAACAGGTCAGTGGCAGGTCTTTAAAAATCCTCACCACAGTCAGGAGATGTGTGAATAACCTTGTTGTAGGGTTGTCAAAAGTATCGATACTCAAAAAATATCGATACTAAAATCGGATAAGATACCCCTTCTCTCTGATTTATTTATTTACGTTGTTAGCCTTGAATTGATAGCTGCGGCTAATGGCTAATAACAACACGCCAACATTAATCAACTCTGTCTGGCTGCAGACTGCAGGAAACCAAGGATGGAGATCCAACTCCTCCACATGCAAGTCGGCCATTTTGATTAGGTCACCAATAGGAAGATCCCAGTTAAGAAAATCCTAATTGCTTCATGGCAATATAGACATTAATTTAAAAATAGTTAAATCAATCTTGCAAACACTGAATTCAACTCTTTACATAATATTATGTTAAAATAGAGGATGTTAAATAGGTTTGTACAATAAGTCCAAACAAGTTTCACCAAAAAAATATTTATTTCTCACAACCATGAAGGGTGGAGGGTTAGGGTTAAGGTCGGGTTTAGGGTTAGGTTTAGGGTTAGGGTCAGGGTTAGGTTTAGGGTCAGGGTTAGGGTCATTAATGTGGGCCACCGGCCTCCATAACATCAGTAACAGGTCAGTTTGAAACCAAAGACACTAACCTGTCAAAATTCACTTAAATTTTGGGGTCTTTGTTTTTATCCTTGTGGTATCGAAAATGGTATCGAGTATCGAATATTTTCCTGAGTATCGGTATCGATATCGCACAACATTGCACATTTCAATTGTTCATTTGTACATTCAGATCTATATTTTTAAAGATTGTACTTTTCAGTTTTATCATTTCTGTTCTATATTCTTATTTCTACATTTCCTTATTTAATTATTAGCGTCTCATAGAAGTATTGTGCACCAAACATCAAGGCAAATTCCTTGTAAGTCAAAAACCTACTTGGCAATAAACCTTATTCTGATTCTGATTCGAGCTGAAAATGTTGGTATCGTGGCAGCCCTACCTTGCTGGGATTTGCTTCCCTTGAGGGAGTAACGGCGGTGATCTCCGGTGGGGAGCTGATGGAGGCAGGGGGGGGGGGCAGGGAGG